GAGGCCTAGGCGATCCTAGGCGGCTCTAGGCGGCTCTAGGCGGGCGTTTTGCCGTTGAGGCATGGACGAAGGGCGGTTGAAGTGCGCATGATCCGCTGCTTGTTAGGAAGAAAGACGGGGAGAGAGAGAGAGATAGATCAAGACAGAGAGAGGAAGGAGAAGCGATGCTGGGAAGAAGAAGGTATCTGACCTAATTTTAATATTTGTAAAGTATAGCCGGTCGGCTATACTGTTAATTTAAAGAAAAAAAAACACGGAGTATTAAGGGCCGGCCATACTATTTTTATATAGTATATTTGAACAGTATAGCCGCCTGGCTATACTATTCATTGGAATAAAGTTTTTTAAAAAGGGATTATCGCCGCCCGGCTATACTATTAATTTCAGGAAAAGAAATTAAAAAATGGAGTATAACCGCCCGGCTGTACTCTTTTAATTTGGGTTATCAAAAAGAGGGCAAATGCCATGGATATTGTGAAAAAAAAGCCATGTGTGTGGTGGTGGTGGTGGTGTGGTAATTTCAACTCTCGGTAGTTGGTATAGATATGCAATTATGAAGATCAATTAATTTGATGTTGCTCGAGAATTGCCGTTCCCAATTGATGACATCATTGCTTTTTTAAGTGAAAAGACATCATTGCTTTTTCAAGAGAGAAGAAGAAAGCAGAAGAATCTGATCTCTTTGTATTAGTTTGACGTCCAATATGTACCCAATCCAATTCATTCAGCCAATTAATATTGTAAAACAAAGGATAAGTCATCCATATTCAAAAACAAACATTCCAAAAGAAGCTTCAAAATGTCAACTTGAAATGCTTCTTAAAGGAACACATTCGTCAGAACTGCATTTGACTGCAACGATACCTTTCAACAATTTCAAACCCTAACAAGGAAATTAAAAAAAAATGCTCTTCATCATAAATTCTTATAGAATATCAAGTGCAATATTTGAATATATAGAATGGTAATTTGTCACGTTAGAAAAAATTAATAAACACAAACCTTATCCTTATCGAGAGGAACCACAATCTCTTCAAGTGAACGAACATCCCTAACATCGAAGTTTTTAAGCAGAGCGATACTTGAAATGACAGACATAGGCTTCACTTCCAAATCATCTGTTATCATGTAGGTCACAGCCTCTCTCACAAACCCACCTCCCTTGCTGCCGGCTGCAACTGCCTGCCAAGCAACGTAAGTGAAGTGTTTGGAAACGAAGTTATGGCACTTTGGACAAATGGCCTTAGGGTCGTCAGCCACATAGCATACCTCGCCAGAGTAGGGGTAGCTTGACGGTTGACATGACTGACACGTGTACAACCTTTTACCATTTGATTCACCGTCAGTCAACGTAGGAAGAAGTTGATGGGGGCCACCAATTGGCATTGGCAGCTTCTTAGGTTTTAGAAGGACATCCTTGTTGAGGTTGGGTTGCAAGTATGTCATTTAGGTTTTCTAAGCTGCCGTAGAGTTTGCCTAAACAACTGACCATGCGTTTCTTAGAGAGGAGCCTAATCACAGTGCCGACGAGTCGAGACAGGGTGAAGAGAAAGTCAACAAAATCCTTGCCAGCTTCGGCGAAGAGAACTTTTTTTATGCTTTTTTTTTATGAGGAGCTTCAAACTAACTGGAGAAGTAGAGATTGATTTGGTTTTGGGTTTGGATTTAGAGGGGGCCATTGAGGTAGAGTGAGTGAGATGGAGGACATGTGCGACGCAACCATATATATATGGAGAAGTATTAAGGACCTATTTATTTGTAGACCCACTACTTTGAGAAACTGACGTTTTCTAATTTTCATTTCTCATTTGGATGGACCTTATCTAAATTATACATTTTTTAATTGTCATTTTGGGGGAAATCTTCTTTTTTGCGATAGATTATTCAATTATCTTTATGAGATAATCTAGCATGACATTTCATATTTTTATTCATGGTTTCACGAGATGTCAAATTATAAGATTTATGTTAGGTAGTCCATGTTGTGTTCAAGTAGGCAAAGTACTAAAAACTTTATATTAATATTAATCGAACATATAAATTAGAGATTAAATCTAAACAGGAAATTATTTATGCAGATAGAAGTGAAGAAAAAAACATTATGACATGCAAGAGCAAAATGACTAACAAACTATATATTATAAAAGGGTACACATCTAGGAAGAAAAGGCCACATGCAAACAAAATTGATGATGCTAGTGAACCTAAGTTGCCCGATTGTATGGTAAAGTAAGATTGACAAAACAGAAAATGTATATAGAAACATGGGTAATGTGGGAGGAATAATTCAGACCTCATCCATGCCAAAATCAACCACCTTCTCCTCAAGAGCACCAACCTCCTTCACATTGAACTGGTTCAGCATGGCAATACTTGAAATGGTGGACATTGGCTTCACCTCCAAGTTATCCATGATCAAGTATGTCACTACGTCCTGTCAGAATTGCAATATTGAGCATAATTTTAACAGAGAGAAGCAGAGAATCTTAGGAGAAGAATTGATGTATTCATTCATTGATGTTTCAACACAGTACCGTGATGGTTTTTATACTAGCTTTGTCAAAGCTTTGTGTACACGTTTCTAACCTCTTAACCTCTCTAACTTCTTTAATAGAACTGCCTAACAGTCTTAACAATATTTCAACAACTCTCTTCTTCAATCTTTTGACATGTGGCAGAATTAGGACCTTTGATATCTTTACACGCCCTTGACATACCCTCCCTCACCGGATGTTGCCACCACAGTAGAAGAAGCTTGTGGGCAAACATAAGCCACCTGGGTGGACATGGCATACCTGCAATTTTGGCAAACGGTTCCAGACACATCGGAAATACGGCGAACGCAGTTTGTACAAATGTAGAACTGTTTTGCATTCGAGTCAACCTCGTTGGTTAGCAAAAAAAGGATACTGGAACCAGCAACTGCTGCCTTTGGTTTCAGCAATGTGTCCTTTTTGAGATTGGGTTGCAAGTATGTGTAGCTAATATTTTCAACACTCTCATAAAGTTTGCCCAAGCTATCAACCATGGCGTCCTTACAGAGGAGCCTGATCACAGTCCCGACCGGCAGAGACAGGAGAGCAAAAGAAAATCCACAACATCCTTGCTTGCTTCGGCAAACAAAACTTTGCCACCCTTTGTGTCGATCAGAAGCTTCAAGCTCACGGTTGTGGTGTTGGAGGTTGCCATATTGATGCAATGTTTGAGGCTTAGGAGGAAGACCTGTAATTTATAGGCGTACAGATGGAGATTCAAGTTAATCCATATTAATTATAACTTGCCATTATCTTTCAAACGTTACAACTTGTCATTATGTACGTGACCTTTCATTTAATTTGAATTATTCAATAATTTAATTTGAATTAGGCGTGCATCCAAAACTTCGATTCCATTTCCAATGGATCAGGGACAGAGTAGAAACTGTTATGCCTTCCTTTTACGCAAGAACACATCGGTAAGAACAGTGTTGGACTCCAAGGATGCCTTTAGCGGCTTCAAACCCTAAGAAAACGAAAGGACAAAAAATATACAAAATTAGTGATAGCCTATAATGATCCGCTGTGGATTCTTACATCCACCATTTTTATATTATATAGGAATGAAATGCTCTTGGCTTGACATCTTTTGTTCCGTTCTACTAGAACCCCCGTTTTTGGAGTGTTGTGATGTAAATAGTACCTGATGGAGCTCGAGTAGAAAGTATTAATTTCTCAAGGGCAAGAATCTAAGGTTATACTTTAACTGAAGCATCAACATAGCCTAATATTTCAAAATAGAGTCAACTAATCGATTAATTGGTTTTTTTTTTCTTCTTGACAAAACGATATTGTAAACTATTTTAATGTATAGGATGATATCAAATTTGAGAAAGCGACAGACACACTACATTGGCTAACTAGCGTAATTGGTTAATTGATTATTAATAAGAAATTTTTTGGTCTGAAATTATTAATAGAAAATTATTAATTAAAATAGGGAACTATATAGATGATATATATATATAAATGAATTCAGAAATGGTAGACATAGACATCGGCTTCACTTCCAAATTGTCCATGATCATATATGTAACAACAACCTTCACATACTCCTCGCTGGAAGTTGCCGTTTCAACAGTGTGCATAATAACGTGTGCACAATTTATGGAAATTAAACACCAGGAATTTAAGAGACCAAAGTTCGAAGCTGAAGAATCACGTGATCAATGGAGATTAAACCCTTATTGATCGGAACTGAAGGATGATCATGATTCACATGGACCAAGAAGGATGATCATGATTCATATAGGGTATTTTTATAATAGTGAATCTCCCTTTATTTTTTTGAATTAATGGTTGACGTTGATGATGAAAATCACGGGAAAACAATTATTATTTGTCATTCATTTCTTTGAAACTAGGCTTTGCCTTTTTGAACTCCTTGTGTTGCTTTAATTAAGATTTTATCTTCAATTTTTTTTTGAGCTTCCATTTTGGGCTTCTTCCATAGTTTATTTTGACCATCAAACAAAAAACCATCGAGCTTCACTGGATTCCTTTTTGAGATTTGGTTGCAAGTATGTGTAGCTAAGATTTTCAAGGCTCTCGTAGAGCTTGCCTAAGCAACCAACCATGCCATCCTCAGGGAGTAGCCTAATGACGGTGCCAACATGCGAAGACAGCAAAGAGAAGAAAAAATCAACAACTTCTTTGCTCACTTCAGCAAACAAAATTTTGTGGCTCTTTCTGTCTATTAGGAGCTTCAAGCTCACACAAACGTTGGAGGTTGCTGCCATATTGAACTAGTGATGAGGAAGACAAAGGAACTATACGGTTATATATTCCTTATATAATAATTGTATGCCAATATTGTTTTTGTAAAGCACTCAAACGTACGTTGTCTTTATTGTAGTGAAACTCAACATTGTGTATCATAGTACAGGGCATAGTGCCAATGAAACTCAACATTGGAACTTGGTCTTCATCAACATTCATCTAGAGCTTGATCTCTATTCTCTTCTCTCACCCTTTGACGAATTTAGGCAGCCACTTAGCAGACTCTTTGGGAATGCGCGTGAGATTGTTGTTGTAATCGATGTAGTAAAGCCCGAATCTTAAGGTATATCCATCAACCGATTCATAGTCAGCAGAGCCCAGTGGAAATATCCTTTCAAGTTCACTCCATTCTTCATTGGCGTTCATCCAGAACAAATGCCTCAGATTATTTTCAATTCTACGTGGATCCTTCAGTGCAGCATCAAGTCCAAGTTTATTATCCTTTGGCTCAGTAATTCCATTTTCAGTTATGTAGATTATCGGATTCCGATAATTTTTATTCATGAACTCCAACAGTTTCTTCACACCTTGTGGATAAATAATGTAGAGGATCGAGTTTCCTTCAGCCTGAGAACCAATAGGATCTCCATTTTTGTTTTCGGTCAGCATTGAAGCTAAATGATCGTTGCGGTTGCAGAAGCTCTGTCTTCTGCGGATTCTGAGTAGGGCTTAACATACCGTCCTTCAAGACTAATTCCAATTTGTCCACCTTGTTTCTCTTGAAACTTCTCTCTGTAAAGCTCAACAACAATGGCATGGGCTAGGAGAAGGTTATGGCTCACAATGTAAGGTTCAGTGGCTGAATTGCCGGCGCTATGCATGGAAACCCTGCTGAAATAGAACACCTTCCCGGCCCAGCAATTCCAAAGCCATATCCAAATTTGGCAATGATCAACTGCTCGTTGATTGTGATCCAATTTTTGACCCTATCTCCGAATGTTCTAAAACAGATTTCAGTGTAAGCCTTGAAATCATCAACAAAAGAATGGTTCAAAGGGCCTAAGTACTTGTCTTCCAAACCTTGTGGTAGGTCAAAGTGCAATAAGGTCACATCACATAGGGTGTGATCCCATTCTCGCCTAATTCATCAATAAGGCTGTTGTAGTGATCAATGAACCACGTATAGCCGCGTGGCTGTACTGTTTGAATATGATAATAGGGAAAAAACACGGAGTATAGCCGGTCGGCTGTACTATTCAGTTAGGGAAAAATGAAAAAAGGAGTATAGCCAAGGAAGACATTGGTACTATTAACTTGAAATGCATCAATTCCTTTCACATTGAACTTTTGAAGCACTGCAACACTTGATTCGGTGGTCATTGGCTTCACATCCAAATTATCCATTTTCATGTAAATAACACCACCCTTGACATAGCCTGCCTTAATATTGCTGGAGGTTGCTCCAGCAGGAGCAGATGGAGAAACATAAGACACCGGGGTGGAAATGTTACATGATCTGCACTGTGGACAAGGGATTACATAGCTCTCCGAAATACGGTTACCGCACCTCACACAAATGTAGAACAATTTAGAAAGATTCTAGTCATTGTTGGTCGGCAATGGCAATTGAAGGATATTGGCCGCAGAAATTGTTGTTTTGGGTTTGATTCCTTGCTTGCTTCAGCAAACAGAACTTTGTGGCTTTTTGTGTCAATTAGAAGCCTCAAACTCACGCTAGCGCTGTTGGTGATAGCCATTGAGGGGATATTAAGGACAGACCATCACACAAAAAGTATCCTAAATTCAAAATTATTCAAAAATATCAATGGTGAACGGATCGAGAAAGTGGAGGGTCACCTTGGACTCTGCATCATCAGTCGACCACAAAGCAACTCTACATATACAAATCTGTCATTACCTATACATAGGGACTATAATCTACAGATGAGTGAATACATATGTACTTATTTCCACACAAAAACTGTAATCTTAAATAGGTTCGAAAAATCGGCCTAGGCGGCGCCTAGGCTCTAGGCAGGAGGACACCGCTGCAATTTCACCATAATCATAAGGGGTAGGCGCCAGGGAGTTAGGCGGCGCCTGGGAGCGACCTAGGCGTCTCTAGGCGGCCCTAGGCGGCTCTAGGCGGCCCTAGGCGGCTCTAGGCGGGTCTGGGCTGGCGTTTTGCCGTTGAGGTGTGGACGAAGGGCGGTTGAAGCGTGCAGGATCCGCTGCTTGTTAGGAAGAATGACGGAGAGAGAGAGAGAGAGAGAGATCGAGACACAGAGGAAGGAGAAGGCGACGCTGGGAAGAAGAAGATATCTGACCTAATTTTTAATATAACTAACGGGTTGGGTTTTGTAAAATTGCCTTAAACATTGTATTAAAATGGGCCTTTTTTTTTGGCCCGGCGGCTATAGTATAGCAAAAATGAAAAAAACGATTCATTCAACAGCAAAAGTACATGACATGAGTCTCAAAACATCTTGGAGTCACACAAGCTCAGAAGTTCTAGCAAAAGTCAGTTCAGCTACCTTAACAGAAGAAACTTCCTCTGAAGGAGCATGGTGAAGTCGATTTCATCAATTTAACTGACTGATTACCACACAAAAAAACCTCCAAAATAACAGTGTAAGACACTCTTTATGAATCCCTAGTTCGAACTCAGATGCACAACAGTCAAACAAGCTCCAAAATTCCATTTCCAGAATTGATCAGGCGCAAAGTTGACATGTTTACTCCTCTTTCTTCCCAAGGAAGACATTGGTGAGAACTGCGTTAGACTCCAATGATGCCTTGAGCAATTTCAGACCCTAAAAAATTAATGAAAAGAAAATGATCATTTTGAACAAAATAACAATTCCTCCAACCAAAACAAAAAACAAAAGAATATAATAGCAGCTCAACTGTGGAAAAGCAGCTTTGATTAAAAGCCTACATGATAATGTGTGATGGTTGTATTGTCTGATGATCGAGTGTGTAGATCTAGAGTAGAAATCAAAGCATAAAAAGTGTATCTATCCTATCCTTCCCAACTTGAATCAATTAAGAAAAGAAAAAAGCATATATATATATACATGGAGAAGTAAACTAGATTATTAAGGGCCTATTTATTTGTAGACCCACTACTTTGAGAAACTGAAACGTTTTTTAATTGTCATTTGGATGGACCTTATCCAAATTATACGTTTTTTAATTGTCATTTTGGGGGAAATCCTCATCTTTTTTGGGATAGATTATTCAATTATCTTTATGAGATAACCTAGCATGACATTTCATATTTTTAGTGCCAGTTTGGCATTGCTTATTTTGGGTGATAAGTGATTTTTAAAAAAATTTGAGAAGCCCAACCCTTTTGTTAAACTATGAGAAAATCACTTATTGTTAAAAATTGATGTGAGAGAAAGCTATAAGGGAAAACATCTAATGAGGTGCTTTCATTTTCTGATTATGCAGGAATCAGTTTTGAAGAGGCGCTGGGTTTAATGATTATGCGGCAATCATTTTTTGATTATGCGTAAAATCAATAACAACAACACTTTTAACAAAAATATTACCAAACGTCAAACTGCTTTCTCTCACAGCTGATTTCTCCCACAACAAATATAACAGCAATTATTTTCACAACACAGCAATGCCAAATTGAGGGTTCACGAGATGTTGCAAGATATTCCTTCCTGAACCTTGGGGGTGTTAGGAAATAAGTTTGTATAATATCAATACTGTTGTAATTAGGATTTACTTTCCTAGTAGGTTTCCTAGATTGGAGGACTTGTTTCCTTGTACACTAAATATTGCCACCTCCTCTTATATTAGAGATTTCATTGTATTCTTTTGTGGGTCAGCAATATTCATAATAAACATGAATACTTTTAAGATGTATATGCCTCGTTGGAATTTCTTTCATGAATCTGTTTTCTTAAAAAAGTATTTTCTTAGTATTGGACTATATCTAGACATGATTATTGTTCTCTTTGTTCTCCGGCGAGTTTCTAATATTTTTGTCTGCTATTATTTTTTCAGAAAGTAGACTCTTTCTTCCATTTATCTTTTATATTTACTATTATATTGTATAGAAAGTATGTGAGAGAGTGGCGATGGTATTTTATTATAAAAAGTAAATGGGGCCCAATATATTTCTTCATTTTGAAGTAGGCAATATTGCCTTGTTTGGGAGAACATGTATATTTTGCCTACCTATTTGCATTTTCCCTTGGAGCATGAAAATACTGATGTGTCAAAGGCAAATGAGGTTTGCCTACTCATTTGCCGCTTCACTTGGAGATGCTTTGCACTTCCATATTCGTCTCATTGGTTTATTTAAAGTTGAGTGCTGTTATTTCCATCCCCTCATTCTATTTCCCCACCCATCTTATCTTCTCACCCACCCTATAAATTTGAATAAACACAAACATATCTTTCCATCCACCATTATTCCTAAAATACCTTTTAATTGTATTTCCATATTTGCTATTACAATAAAAAAAAATTCTATAAAAACAATAAAAAAATTCTTCAATTAGCCTATCCCCACCCCAACCTTCTCCTCTGGCGAAAACCCAACGGTCAACACCATGACCTTACAAACATTTAATGCTCCTTCTTCAACCAAAGAAAAACTCTCCTTCTACTGCCAACGAAAAAAACACTCCCCTTCCTATCACCCACAAAAAAAAAAAAAAAAAAAAAAAAAAAAAAAAAAAAAAAAAAAAAAAAAAAAAAAAAAAAAAAAAAAAAAAAAAAAAAAAAAAAAAAAAAAAAAAAAAAAAAAAAAAAAAAAAAAAAAAAAAAAAAAAAAAAAAAAAAAAAAAAAAAAAAAAAAAAAAAAAAAAAAAAAAAAAAAAAAAAAAAAAAAAAAAAAAAAAAAAAAAAAAAACTCACATTGATTACTCTATTTGTTCCAGAAAATAAAATCACATATGTTTTATTTTATTTTTAATTTCAGAGACTGCAATAGAGGTGTTATTTGAGTTTGAAATAAGGAAAGAAAGAGACAAAGGAAGAAAAGGAAATGGCCATGAATTTCTATCATTTTTAGAGTTGCCCAAAAGCTCAAAGTCGATGTAATTATGGGACTACTTGAGCTTTAGAGTTAGAGAAGAAAGAAAAATAATTGGATTATGTGTGATTGAAAATAAAATTGGGGTTGTTCTTTGGGGCTTTGCCCCCTTTCTTAATCAAAAAAATAAAATAAAATTGGGGTTGTGAGTTTGCAAGTTTAGGTTTTCTTCTAGTTCCTAATTTTTGAAGAACGCAGGGAGAGAAAGATGTTGATTTCGTTTTGTTTGGTGGGTTGGGAATGAAGATGAGTGTGGATTTCGAACAAAAATAAAAAGAAAAAGAAAATATGGGTGTGGGTGTGTGTGAGAGATTGAGAGAGTTGTCCTCATAAGTCATTTTACAAAAAAGTAAATTTATCTTTAAAATTTAGAACATAAGGTTATGGGAAAATAGGACATATTGGTGAAAATAGCAGCATCTTAAAGTTTTGGTTCCTCTGAGTCCAGAAAAATAAAGAACAAAATCCATTCCTCTTGTTGGGTTGCTCTCTATGTACTAGCCCAATTTACAATGTGATTTTACAAGATTGGGTTGGCTTGATTTGAACAGTTATTTATGTGGAGCTACATATGTGCCCAGCCCAAATTTTGAATATTTCAAAACAAACC